CCGCCGGGCGGCGCGCACAGCGGGAGCGGCCCGAGCGGCGCGCACAGCGGGAGCCGCCGGGCGGCGCGCACAGCGGGAGCGGCCCGAGCGGCGCGGACAGCGGGAGCCGCCGGGCGGGGAGGCCGGGCGCGGCGGCGCGGGACGATGACGTAGGGATGCGCCGGAAGCCGCCGGATCGTGAGGGAGTCGGGTCGTGGAGCGCTTTCGCCCCGTGCCGAGGTTCGCCCAGCGCGGGCTTGGCCCAGCCCTCCTCTCCCTTCAGCGCCGGGCGGTCGTGAGGCCCTGGTCTCCTCCTGAGGCTGACCCCTCTGTCGTGGGAACCTGCAGATTGTGGTGCGGGCTGCGGAAGTGCTGAGAGCTGGTCTTGCCGTGGAGCGATGGCCGCAGGGAAGCACCCGGCCGTGCTGGGCTCCGGGAGTCCGCGCCAGCCGTGGCGACTGCCCGCCGACGGACACCCCGCCCCGGGCTGCTACCTGAGGTGAGGGGCGCGGAGCTGTCGGCGGCAGCGGCGCTGCTCTGCGGTCCCCGCTGTGCTTTTTGCGTGTGGAGGTGTATTGGGAGCGGGCGGGGGGAGCGGATGGGGCTGGCTGCGTAACACCTGGCAAAGAGGCTCGAGCACCGGCCTCACAACAGCTCTTAATTTCACTAATAGCTTCAGTATTGACTACAACAAACGCCTTGGGGCTCACAGAGTTTTTATTCGTAGCCGGCCTATTAGAAAATTTTACATGGCTTAAAGAGAACACATGCCTATTTCAACAGCAACTGTATTCACTGCTGTATGTGCTGAGGAAAGCTGGTAAGTGGTGTCTGCAGTAAAAGTTACTGTAATGAACTTGTGATTTAATAGGATCAGCTGCTTCTGTGCATTTGACATCCATAACCTTCTTGTGTGTTTTACCAACAATTGCATGCCATGTGCAGCCTTTTATCGTGATCACGGTACTTTTCTGTACTCCTATGCCAGTTAAGAATTGTACTCTATAAGATCTCATTCTCAATGGCAAAATGTCTGTAAATAAATAAACATGCTATTGAGTCCCACTCAGATACCTCAGTCCTTTCAGTTTGGGAGTGCTGTGAAATTCAGACACTTACCTAATGAATTAGACCCTCCAGAGAAAATAAATTTATGTCATTTTTAAACTGTTTACCTGATACTTATCTTCTTAATCAATGGTCCCAGGTCACTGAAGGAACTTGAGATGTCAGACGATAGTATAAGTGTGTTCAGGGGGTGGTATTCAATTTCACAGTTAAGTCTCAGTGGAAATAAACTGAGAAAATAGAAAAAAAACCAAAACAACAACAGGATTTTTTAAATGCATCTGGGTCAAAGTGGTGCAGGCATGTCAAAACGTACGCTAGACCAGCACAAGCTTAGGTCTTTACATGGGCCAAATAGAAAGAATAGAAAGACTAACGTATTCTTCGACCAGTTTGTCAGACATCTCTGTCTACTTTTTAAAATACTAACTAGTTACCTGCTTTGTATTTAAAATAGTTGAGGATGAAGGTATGAGTAAATATGTTAGTAACTAGCTTATGCTGCTTATGTGTTTTGTTTTTTTCCTTTTATCAGAATAATCCATGAGTAAACTCTAAGACTGTTTATTTGCTGTAATAGGTGTAAAACTTAAACTAACCCCTTTCTGATTGGACTCAGAATATGAAAGTGTTAATCTAAAATAAGAAATATGTTAACATTCATAATGAATGGTAACATTTGCTAGCTACATACAATTTACTTGTAAGTCTGCTGTGGGGCAAATGATAGTTCAGGGTGCATGCAAATGCTTAGTCCTAACCTAAAGAATATTTTAGAATGCATTTGGTCACTTCAATATATGTGTTAACATGCCATTTGGAATACTTATGTACCAATAGTAAAGATGTGATTCATACCTTATTTTGTGAACGGAACTAATACAGTATTTTGATGTATCACAGGTAAATTTTTCCATAGCCTTATGGAGAAAAAGGACTTTGAAGCATGGCTTGATAACATTTCTATTGCATTTCTTTCTCTGACGGACTTGCAGAAAAATGAAACTCTGGATCACCTGATTAGCTTGAGTGGAGCAGTCCAGCTCAGGCACCTCTCCAATAATCTAGAGATTCTGCTCAAGAGGGACTTCCTCAAACTTCTTCCATTGGAACTTAGTTTTTATCTGTTAAAATGGCTTGATCCACAGACCTTACTCACATGTTGCCTCGTCTCTAAGCAGTGGAACAAGGTTATAAGTGCCTGTACAGAGGTGTGGCAGACTGCGTGTAAGAATTTGGGTTGGCAGATAGATGACTCTGTTCAGGATCCTCTACATTGGAAGAAGGTTTACCTAAAAGCTATTTTAAGGATGAAGCAACTGAAGGACCATGAAGCCTTTGAGACATCCTCTTTAATTGGACACAGTGCCAGAGTATATGCACTTTACTATAGAGATGGACTTCTGTGTACAGGTAGGAAGGACAGACAACTTGGGAGTCTTAAAATTCTTTGTTTTCTCTTCCCCCTCACAAGATTAATGACAATTTGCTTTTCTTTTACTAGACACATTATTTTCATTGTGTGAATACAGATGATTCAAAATTACTTATTTTTTAAATTTTTGAAACACTTGGTGTACTAATAAACTCATTAGTCACTTTACTAAGAACACAAGGAGACCGATGTTTTTGTTGGATAAAGTACTAGTACCAGCAGACACCATTGTCCCTGCCGTTGGCGTGGTGGTTGGAACTAAATTATTTTTAAGGGCCCTTCCAATCCAGATTGTTCTATGATTTTGATCATGCTGTTACTGTAAGCCTATTTGAGAAGTACAGATACATTAGCTATCCTCTTAGACAATAGCTTTCAATTAAAAGGACTTTGGGCTGTGAGAGAACTTTAGTCTCCAAAAGTGTGGAAGAAAAAGCCATATCTTCTTTGAAATGAGGCTGTAAGCACTTTCAGTTCTTAACATAAGTGCTTTATGAAGTACTGTAAAACTAGATTTAACCTTGCTACTAGCATGACTTGCACATACTTTCAGCTTCATCCCTGAAGAGTAGAGACTTCAATATTTCAGTTTGACCTTAAGATAGACAGAATGTATATGAAGCTTTAGTATGAAAGAATAATAACAGAGTTACAATGAATCGCTGTCAGAGCATAGTCCAAGGATTTTCCAATCACTTAGAATGACAATGTTATACACCAAGTTGGGAATACGACTTCAGTTGGTCATTTGTTGGTACATTAGGATGCTTACTAGAAGCCAACAACTAGATTCTAGCCAGTCTTTCACTTACCTACTCAGCAGTGAATGTTATACACAGAAAACAGTATTGTCAAAACTTTCTGACAACTTTTGTACTGAAACCCCCAGGAGAAGCAGATGTAAAGAGCCCAGGGTTTTATTTTGCTCTACAAAGCTAGCAGTTGAAAAAAGAGGAGCTTCAGGTAGAGAAAAGAAAGTGGCAGGATATGAGGCCTGGTAGTCATCTATATTTCAAGGTTTAATGGAACACTTTCCTTCCTGAAAGAAACTAAAGCTTGCAGTATAGTCAGTGGCTCTGCAAACCTGAGTGATGTGTCACGTGAAACTTCCATGCATCTATCAGTCAGAGGTAGTGCCAGAATCTACCAATCTCACATTTATCCTGTTGTTTTATATTCTAGGATCAGATGACTTGTCTGCAAAACTGTGGGATGTAAGCACAGGTCAGTGCATATATGGTATCCAGACACACACTTGTGCTGCAGTGAAGTTTGATGAACAAAAGCTTGTAACAGGATCTTTCGATAACACAGTAGCCTGTTGGGAATGGAGCTCTGGGGCAAAGACACAGCATTTCAGAGGACATACTGGTGCAGGTATGTTGAAGTTTTAAAATTGTAATTTCACCAGTGAAGTAACATACATCATCAAAATAAACTTTAAGTTAGCTTTTTTGCATACTAGCTTTTTCAGTTTGTTCAGCCTCTGTTCTCTGTCACCTGAGTCCCCTTAGTTCCCCTGGACAGGGAAAGTGACCAGAACAGATACACACTTATCCTTGAATATGCCAAAGCTTAGCCATGTAGCATTTTGCAATTGCATGGAAGTAACAGTAAATGCCATGGTTATTTAGTAGTTTCAAAGAGGTGCCCATCTTAGGTAGCAGAACATACGTAGCCATGGCCATTCTTTCTATTCCCACATTGGACAGGAGCTTAAAGCAAAGAGCAAAATAGGACCTGGGAAAACATACTTGCATTGCCCTCATAATTAAATTCTCTGTCGTGTACTCAGAAATATCCTCAGCTTAGCTGTAGTTTTTTTTCCCTTGTATTTATAAAATATATTAATCCTGTGGAATTCTTACTAAAACTCTGGAAATAGGAACTAGCTTAAGTTACACTTTGCCACAATCCAGCCATAAAGGAACCACTGATATAAATGCTCTTAATTTGGGAAAAAAACCCCAGTAATTTCACAATGTAAACATAGTCATCCAGAGCAAAAATTCATTTATACAGTTTAAGAACAATTAAAGATATAGTAGCATATGAATTCAGAAGCTGCTAAATTAATCTAGATGTGTTAGTGCCTCACAGAAAATGCATGTGTAGAGATTGGTATTTCTTGTTTAGTTCCTTCTTTGCTTGAAGTTTTTAGTGTGGATTACAATGATGAACTTGATATTCTGGTCAGTGGCTCTGCAGACTTCACTGTGAAAGTGTGGGCCTTATCAACAGGAACGTGCCTGAATACCCTTACTGGACACACAGAATGGGTCACTAAGGTGAGAATATTGATTTATAATTAATCTCACACACTTATTTGCACGAAGTTTGTAACATGTTCCAAATTTTTATATCCTAATCCTAATTCTGCAGGTAGGTTTAGAATCTGAAGAACATCTAGAAATACTACAAAATAACATTCCAACAGAAAAAAATATAAGCTGTAATTAAACCTTTCACACCATTGAAGACATTTCAATTCCAAAGCAGCTGGGCTAATACATTTCAGAACTTGAAAGATGAAGGGTGTGAGTGTACAGGTGAAGTATGTATGTTTGCTTATTAGAACTGTAAATTGTCACTAGTAGGAACAAGAGGAGTGTAAACTGTAGTTTTCCTTTAGTTGCTAAAAAGTATTTGTACTGCCTTTATTCATGGGTACACTATGCAAGTGGTCAGTGAAATGAAAAATGCAAATGAAAATTTCTTTATTTGACAGCATCAACATACATCATTACTGTCCTTCAATTACAGGTCGTTTTGCAGAAATGCAAAGTCAAATCTCTTATGCATAGTCCTGGGGATTATATTCTCCTAAGTGCAGATAAGTATGAAATCAAGGTATGTACCATATATCATACATACATTATTTTGGTACATGGGGAAACAAAAAGCTTGAGTAATTTGCTGAAGTTTACAAACAATAGAAGGATTTAGTTTTTCCCCACATTTCCCACTTTAGAGGCTATGTGCAGAACATGAAACTCTTTGGAAGCTAATTTTTCAATGCTCGCCTTAGCATTTAGTTTTAAATGATAGCTCTACAACAGTGGTAATGTAAATAATCAGTGCTTCTAGGTCATGACAGTGAGGCAGGTAAATACAATTGCTGTTACAGTTGGGGACTTTGGGATTGGAGAGTGCTCTACGTTTATGGCTACAGAAGTGCTTCATAACTGAAACACTGTTCAATTTCTGTCCCAATTGGATGGTTGATTTTTCTTTTCTTTAAAGTACCCATTTTCACTGGGATTTTTTTAGGCTAGAAACAACTTGTGCTGCATCAATATTGTAAGACAAGTCACTTGAAGAATTGATGTTCCTCCATGAAAAAGATAAACATTTCTGAAAAAAACTCATGTGCACATTTACCTGATGCTTAAAAAGAGACTGTGAGGCATGCTCTATTTACGTAACAGTTTATAATGTGAATTTTTATGGGTTATAATGTGAATTTTTTATGGTCTTAAACTGTGTTTTAATTGTAGATTTGGCCTATTGGAAGGGAAATAAACTGCAAATGCTTAAGAACGCTGTCTGTTTCTGAAGACCGCAGCATCTCCCTACAGCCCAGGTTGCACTTTGATGGTAAATACATAGTGTGCAGTTCAGCACTAGGATTGTACCAGTGGGACTTTGCCAGCTATGATATTCTCAGGTAAACTGTTCAGTTTAGGATTCAGTCTTCAATAAATAAGAAGTAGCTTACCAGTTTTAATAACTTACCTTAGATGTAGACCAAAATAATCTTGAATAAAATCCTGCAAACATCTTGCTTTACACATATCAAGGTTTAATTCTAATTTTGTCATCTGATAATATGAATAGTTCCATTGCCATTTTGGTTTCTGGCCACATGCTAGTTCTCTTCCATATTTTCATTCTGTAAGCTGAAGTTTTTCAGTAAAGACTTAAACCAGACTACAGTGCTGTAGCTGTGAATGTGAAAATGTAGTGACACAGAGCTAATGTTACCATGGATACTGCTATACAGACAGCCAAGCAGGAATTTCTGGGGGTCTTGATGGGACAAGAAATTTTTAAAGAGATTCTTTTTCCTTAAAGCACTACTCATCTGTCACTCTTTCTAATGTTGTGGAATGACAGTGAAATCTATCAGACTGCAATTAAGGGACCGAACATGTTGGCATTCCATTTCCACATAAAGAATCAGGCTGTATGAGTTGGAAATGGTGGCATCAAAGAAAGTAACATATTAAAGAAAAAAATGCATTTTAGAACTGCTAGCAGACTCCTTAATTCAAATAGCCTGAATAACTGTGGATATTTGAAAGATCTCCAGAAGTGCTTCTTATCAGTAAGAATAACTGAGTAATTTCACCTCTTAGTTTACTCTCCCATCTTTCCAAACAGAAAGATGGTCTCTTACTGCTGAGAGCATATTTTCATCCCCACCCATTTTTCTGCCTCAGTTTTCTGCTTTATGTAATGCTGTGATCAAACATGCAGGCAGTTGTGGAAGACTGAACTCTTCAGTTTCTGTTCCAAGTTTTATTTATTAAGGGAAGACGTCATAAAGGTGTTGGGGAAATAAAAATACTTTTATTTCTCCTCGTGCTTAATTTAACATAAAACATCAGTAAAACAGCATTCTAAGGACCAGTCTTGGACTAACCTGCTTATCACAAGAAGGCACGTCTATGTTTTACTTCTGCCGTTTAGAGGGCTGATCAAAAGAATAATAACAGCTTCTACCTTAGTGTAAAGATATTGAGGCAAGAAATCCATATGGAAATTTACTGTAAAACACAAGTACATTTGTTCTTTTGTTTGTATGTGGAAATGGCTTTTTTTTCTTGTGCTCTGCAGAATCATCCCTTTCAAACCTTAGCCTTCATTTATGTTCAGATGGGTCTGTCTTGAATGCATAACATCAGAAGTGAAACCACAGGCCTGACTATAGCTAAGTGTTCAGCTGCTTAACTTGAAAGATTTGCATCCATTTCTTTCTAAATTACTTCAGAATGATTAGACACATTTTCTGTAGACACACAGGATTTGGTTTAGTAATTCAAGCTCACGACAACATTGTAAGGGAGATTCTAACACTGTTTTCTTATCTTCTAGGGTTATCAAACCTCCAGACTTCTCAAATGTGTCGTTGCTGGGCTTTGGAGAGATATTTGCTCTACTGTTTGACAACAGATACCTGTACATAATGGACTTGAGGACAGAAAAATTGATAAGCCGCTGGCCTTTACCAGAATATAGAAAGTCAAAGAGAGGCTCAAGCTTCTTGGCCGGTGAAATGTCTTGGTTAAATGGACTAAATGGCCAAAATGATACGGGGTTGGTTTTTGCTACCAGTATGCCAGATCATAGTATCCATTTGGTGTTATGGAAAGAACATGGCTGAAAGCTCTCACATACTGAATCTTCAGGAATTTATGGAATTTATGGCCTATCAGCAGTGTGTTCATAAAACGAGACTTTGCATGAACCAAAGTTGCACATCCAATGGTATCACCATGCAATGCACAATCATTTACTTTTATTTGGGCATTTGGGAATGGGTTGTTTTGGAAAGAATTCAATGCAGCATGCTAACAGTATTCACCACAAATTTTTGTCTATATACATGTTTAAATATACCTATTTGGGCTCTGAAGTATAGCTTGTAATGTTTAAACCATTCAAATCTGCTACCAAGTCTGAAATCAAGTTGTGCTTGACCTGACTGACCTTTTTTTGGTTGTTGAAACAGAAGGTGAAGCTGCTTTTTTAGAACCATAGGCTTTTGTCTAACAGCAAATATTTGTTGCAGTGCATGGCTGCTTAACAAAAATGAGAAAACAGCAAACCTTCTCTCTCTTCAGATCTTTCTCTTCAAAATGTTTTTCCGTATGATAGCTTTAAATACTTAGCCTTTGAAACAGAAGAATCAAACGAATCCTTTAACAAATACTTGTCCACCTATTTTTGTGCTATTTGACATGTACTTAAAAGCTGTATCGACATCACATGCTTTAGAAATGCTTTAGGTTGACCCTCCTTCCTGTCTTCCTTCCTTCCTCCCTCCCTCCTTCCTGCCTTAATGTCATTTGTTTTTACACAACTTGAAAACCTGCGTTTTCATGAAAATTGGCTCATGCTCTTGAAAAGACAAAACTGTCTAGCATTACTAGTGATTTTTTTCTTCCCGCTATTCAAGGAGACCTGATTTCATACTTAATCATGAAGGCCAAGATTCCCAAATGTATGTGGTATGAATTACACCAATGAAAGAGAGTTTTCATATGCAAGAATCAGTATTTGAGTGATGCTGTAGGAGTTTCTTAAAGTCACAGAGGAGCAGTCTCTTAAGTACAAGGCCAGACTCTTAAGCATTCAGTTTTTCCACCTTTACTCACATCAATTTCCTTTGAAAAATGTTATCTATACTCAAGGATCTTATCAACTGGAAGCCAAATTCACAACCCTCAATTCAAACTGCACTGTGTGGGGCATAAATGATGAGCTCACAAAAGTGAGATTTTGTTGTCTCACTCCTAAGTAAAAAAAGCTTCAGTGAAAAAGAATGTTTTCAATAACTTCAATAACTTGTCTTGAAACCCAGTTCTCAGCATTCTTGATGTGGGAGTAACATAACAGTATCATTATGATGTGCACTTCTGAAAGAACCACCTGTACAGCACTGCATTAACTTTGAAAGATTAAATAGAGGCATGCCAGAAATGTCCTTGTTTCCAAATCAGCAAATTGGGAAAACTCAGTTAACTACTTTTACTAGTGACCTTGATCATACAGAGTCCATAGAGAGGTGGAGCACAAGATGGCTGCGAAACAGACCCAAGCTGAGCCATCCAGAAAGAATGGTGGCAAAAGGGAAGGTGGTGGGCATGGGATGGGGAGGCACTGCTACTGTCTCCAGGTATAAGCTATAAAAAAAACCAGCATCAGACTCATTTCAGCATCTTGCAGCAAGACAATGGTCAATGGTTCCTGTGACAAGAGAAATTCTCCACAGTGAGTTTACCTTAAGAGTCAGATTTCCCAGCCTTCCTAGACAAAGCCCTGAGCACACCATGCTGTAAGCAGGGAGTTGGACTTTCAGATGCCCCTTCCAAACGATGAGTCCGAAATTCTAAATGGACCTGTTGCCACAAAAGAGTGTTATGACTAACAGCAGCAGGCATCTCGTATCCTAATATAGCTGCCAGTTTGTTGATACAGACTGGGAGATGCTGGAGTCACTGTGAAGGAAAAGTTCCCTTTGGACATTGGTAATGATACTAATCAACTAATGACAGAGCTCTTTAAGGGCACAGGTATGTGCCACTACTAAGTAGATAAAGGAATGAAAGTCTGACACTAATGTAGAAATTTTAAAAAGCACACTTGCTCTCACGCACACTTGTCTCTGCCAGACACCAGTCAGGCTATCGCTGCTTTCAGGTGTGCCTTCAGTAGGAAGGTTCTAATATATTGCCACAACATATGCCATGCATGTAGTTCTGGGGGCTTATCAAACAGAAACTGAAATTGTGGAACTGAAACTGTGAAACAGAAGTGAGCAAATGGTTTTTTGTTTCCTTTGGTTTCCATCTGGCCCTTCAGCAAAAGTCACTACTTACCACTATTTCCATATAGAGGCTGGAAAAAATGCAGCTTCTGTACCATTACACCTACCAAGGAAGCAACATAATTCAACTTACCCATCACATAAAGGACTAAAATCCAACTTGTGTCTTAAGTTTCAGAAAACATTTTCCTACGAGGCTTCAAGGTGCCAGAAAAAAAAAAAAACCTAACAAAATATTAAATAACAAAACTAAAAAAATATTAAATATTTATATTTCATAAAAGTTGTTTGGCCATCTATTTTTTCCTCCTTGAAATAGGTTCTTTTTGGTTCAGCAAAGTATCTTCCATTAAGATGAATCTCTATCCTTTGCCTCTATTAAAGTTTTTCAACACAACTGGGCACTTGCCACTTCAGTAATTCAAAACAGGTGTAATCACTCTTCTCAAACTTACATGTCTCCAAAACCCAGCTGAACAAGACATTTTTTATCAGCAAAACTCCACTGTGCTTAGCGTTACAATCCATCACATCTTTAACATATATTATTTCCAAGAACATAACGGGGTAATTTTTTTACAACTAAAAGGAAGATTGTACTCAATTATTTGTCTACCTTTTACTCAAATTGATGTATACAAATTCAGTACCCTGTGACATACAAACTGCGAGAATTAAGCATTGCTACCTTTAATACTAATGATTGTATTTGTAGATTTTGAACATAGGTTGAAAACTGTTTTGCATTATTTGAATCAATTGAAAAATACTGATTTTTATTATTACCTGAAAACAAATTGTACATTTCCCAGAACAGATACTGCAATCTGCATTGACCCTTGGTATCATTACATGATTCATGGCTTTGCTATAGATTCCCTAAATAATTGCAGAAAAATGTAAACTTCATGTGGAAATCAATGTAATGTGATCTTTAAATGATATCTTCTGTCTTCCCACAATACAGGTAGCCCTCCACTTTCACTCCTTATAACCAAGGTTTCAATTTTGAGTTTGCAGCATGGTTTGAGATAGAACCTTGTTAACATTCATGATTAATGATGAGTTATATCTCCACAGTGTTGTATCCCTGATGAGAGATTCTCTGGGAAGGTTTCCTTGAAGAGCCTCCCGACAGTGATAAATGAGGGCAACATCCATGGGAACATTCACGCTCTTCCCATAAGCACGTAGGACAGAATGGACTGAAGTCTGAATCACCTTTCGTGGATCAACTATCATTTTCCTGGGATTGATTACATGTTTCCTGTCAGGCTCTCTGTACACATGCTGCAATATGTTAACACCTGGCACAGTATTCCAAGATGAAATGTTGAACATGGGAGAAGATACAGTTTCTGGGAAGATATGGTTCTCAAAAAGAAAAACACTAGTCCCTGGGTTTTGCTCCTGAAGACTGTTCATCATTGTTTTCCAGTCTGGGTGTTTAAGGGGAAGAATTATTTCATCAGCATCATTAAGGACCACAAACTTGGTCCTTTCCATGTTGCGGTATATACAGTCATTTAGAGCTGTGATTTGTCCATAGTAGCCAATGTGTGTCCCATCTTCCATGAAGCGCCATTTAGAAGAAACCCTGAGGTGTGAGTCTATTGGCCAGGGAATTACCTCAACAGTTCCTTCTTCTATATAAAATTTCAAGACTTTCTCCATCAGATGGCTGCAGTTGTTCTTATAGATCACCACTTTCTGTACGCCAAGAATCTTATACATTTCCATACTCTGTATAAACTGCAAGACATTGTTGTAGTTTCCAAACATGGCAGAAATGCACACGGTGAAGTCAACAGAATAGGTCTCAGGCTTGCGATTTTTAATTTCAAACCTCGGCAGCTGGTCAATGTTTCCATATGGAGACTGATGAATTAATACATGTGTTGGATCACAATTTTTAGGTTCCAAACAGATTATATCTGCTGCACCATAAGGGAATCCAAATCTATCTGAGTGAACATCTATTTCTGCTTTTGATACATATATCTTTCCATTGGCCTGACAGCAGAACCAGCAGTACAGTTGTTTTACATCTTTATGGTGAACAATCCCAATCAGACGAGTGACTTTGTTTTCTCTGTCATCAAAGTATGGGGATATAATAAAAGTTTTGTTACCTTCCAATGCTGTTATTGTGCTAAGGGCAACTTTCCCTCTACATCTTCTACTTTCTTGAATTACTTTTGGCTGATGAGAAAGTCTCTGTAATCTCAGATAAGAAACCGCAAGCATTAAAGTTACAGTCATAATGCACACAGCAGCAGCAAAGTAAGATTTTTTCCCAGCACACAACATTTTGTATGTATCTAAATGTCCATGCGAATTTCTTTGTCCTTGAACTTGATGCAGCCTTATCTGCAGAAAAGAAAAGGCAGTATGAGAATATTGACCTATGGTCATTGCTAAAGAATTTCACAAACAAGATGGGGGTAAGTCTCTATCATGGTGCACTGACTTACTCAGAGACCCAGCTACTGTGCTTTTATGAAAAAACAGTCACAGAACACGCATTTAATATATGTATGATATGTGACACTCTGAATGCCTCTATTTGTCAGATGTGTGGAGCAGTTTCTCTACATGGAGGGTTCTGTAGAAGAATGTAATAGAGGTCTATATAGAGCAATACAAGGAGTATTTTTTTTCAAGAATCCAAATTTTAGAATATCCAATTTAATAACTAGGCAGTAATTCTTAAAGCAAAGCAAAACTTTTCTTTTTTTTTTCTGCCTAACACAGTGTGTATGTAAATTATGCTTAAAAAGAACAAACTCAACTAGACTTCTCACGGACAAGATAAATAAAATGTATATAGAATTAATCAATTTCATTATAAATATGCTAATTGCAGATTACACACGATGGTCCATATATAATCACTAATTTATGAATTCCCTAACTTGCAGATCACCACAGATGAGACCATACACACAGAGGAAAGTCAATACATACAATCCAGCAAAGGCAGATGAAATCTATGCAGGTATAAAACTCACTTTGCCACACTACCCTACATAACCCTCCCTGTATGAGAGAGGAGCTGCAGGAAAGGTCATCTCATATTAATGCTTACTAGAGATCTGGGCCTCTTCACACTGGATCAATGCTGGCTCAGCTCCTGGCATGATTTGGGGGTTAGGGCTTAAAACTCTTGCTGCTGCAGGAACAGGTAGGCAGTTCTGAGAGACTGGATGAGTGAAGTCTTCAGCAGCATTTTTGCTAGCAAGTGTTAATGCCTGAGTGGGAGTTTATGGCACTCTCAAGCACTAATTTCTGCAAGTGGAGCCTTAGATAAAAGTTTCCTCTACAAATTCATCTTTAGGTATTCAGATATGATCCATAAACAGAAAAGTGACAGCAAGTCTCCTCAAAGGCCTGCTTGTATCACAGAGATTCTTGGGGAAAAAAATGTCCCAGATTACTTAAATTCACGTCATATCAGAAAACTGCATTTGTAGAAGAGAATTTCCCCAACTGCCAGCAGGAAGTGTGGAGTAAAATGCCAAGATGGAATGAACTGATGCTATTGCATAAGATGATGAAAATGTTTCTAGCAGGCAAAAAATAAATACCTGTGCCCTCAAAATAATGTACCATATTTTCACAATTGCTATTTCATGAAAAAGTGAACTAGGGAGAACCACAGTCACAACACACCCCTGAAAATGTCCCATATGCCAAGGCTGATGTGACTTACAGCAGCCTTTGCTAGCTACCAAGAAATTGCTTTTCAGATGAGAATAGTCATAGGGACACCGAAAATCTCACCACATCACACTAGACACAAAGCAGAAAAGAAGCAGCAGAAAGGACTGACTCTTCTATCTCTGAAATGGAGATAGTATCCCCATAAGTCCTTAAAACTGAGAGCAGAACAGCAAATAAATAGTAAGAGTCTGCTATTGCCATAGGACTTCCAGCTGGAGATTGGTGACTGAATCAACTCAAACTTTTTAAGTCTTTTTATGATACATTCTAAAGTAGAGGTTTCGCCCAAGCATTCTTATTCCAAGGATGTTATATATTTTAGCATTCTTACACAGAGAAGGTCACATTGAACATTCTTCCCCTCAGTTTTATCTATTTATGACTTAAATTATTGACCTATCTTACAGAATATTTTTTAATTAAAGAAATATCAAACTACATCAACAGTAAATAACAAAATAAATTTATTACCTGTTCTTTCTTCTGCTTTTTCTAGCAACAAATAACTAATAGAAAAAGATCTATATTTTCAATTGCATTTTGAACAGCAAACACTGGAAAGGAAAAAGTACCTTTTAAAGTAGATAGCAGAGTGAGGTTCTGTTCAGTCATCCATTCATTTTTTGCTAAGTTATTTTGCTAAAATAAACTACCAATTTTTTATTTTAAACAGATAAAAACTTGAATACTTTTAAGGTAAATTACAATAATTGTTCAATACAGAACAATACTGTGAGGAGAAAAAGTGGTACAATACATAAGATACTTCCTGGTACATTTTATTTCACATAGCAGCAGCCACACCTACCAGAAAAACAAGTTTTCCTTCTCTTGAGCAAAGTACACAGTTGTGTTGTAAGAACTTAATTTAAATTACAAATGAGTATGGAGTTGTTGAAGATAATCAAACATTTTTCAGGGATTTTTTTAAGGCTACTTAAGTGTTCTTCTGAAAATTAATCTTGCATGTTGATATAAACCCAGTTTGCACCCATACTTAAAAAGAACCAGAAAAAATACACCATATATATATATATCTGCATTTCTTGGACAAACATTTTCTTCATAACATGCTATAAGGCCTAGTTAGAACATGTAAATACAAATTCTGATTAGGAACTGTAAGAGTGCTGAAATAACAGTGAGTTCCAGAAACTAAGAAAAAGAGCAAAATCAAGAGCTCAAAGGCACATCAGAACACTGAATCTTAAAGAAAAAAAGTACGAAGTTATTTGATGAGTGAAATTCATGGTTTCCTCAACACAACTCATTCATTTTGCTCTCCTGAAAGAAACAGCACAAATATGTAGTCATAAAATACATGAAGTCTGTGTAATTAAGAACACTACATTTATATTTCCTCACTATAGAAATGGTAAAATGGCAAGTTTTAATTTTAAAAGTATGCTTTCAGCATATTTAAATGCTCTTCTTTTATAGTAACAACTAATTTCGATTTTGCATTTTTTAATTCCAATTAATATGCAAGTAAACATGACAGAAATTATGCAGATTTGCTTTAATACTAAATTTAGCTAATGGTATCAATGGATACTTTGCAGTATTCCACTTAGGAATACAACAGGCTTTCTTCCTCCCCACCATCCTGACAGACTGCAGTAGTATCACCTTCTCATCTTCATGTTCATTACCTTTTCATTCAACAAAATAGTCATAAGAAACAGTCTTCCTTCACCAATTGTTTCTTGCAGTTGGCCCAGTTTCCATTACCCTCTAGTATGGGAGGCTAGAATGTCTGTACCTTATCCATTTGTATGTTGGATTTTTGTTGGAAATTTTCTTTATTAATGTATGCTAGGATTACATTTTGTGGAGATGCAACATATTGCACAGATACATCTGAGCTTGTCATCAGCCTACAATTGATACATCTGCCTGGTCAGTCAGGCAAGTGCAGTTACACAATGTTTTCTTCTGCAGCAAGGTCATAAGAAAGAGCTCTTGTCATGGTTAGAATCATGAAATGGCCTGGGTTGGAAAGGACTTTAAAATACCTAGTCCCAATCCCCTTGGTGTAGGTGAGATACCTTTCACTAGATTGTGAAAGATTTCACTGCTCTAATTAATTGTGTTTTTCCTTATTTCCTTGGTCACAGTCCTGCAAAAATTTACTCTAAAACCTTGTATGGGATCAAGAATACACTTACAAACTTTTATATATATAAATAATCTTTTTTTCCCCGTCCTAAACCAAAGAATCACTCATACTTTAGCCACACTGTACCACTACGCTCACAACACATTTATCAATCTCCCATTACAGGTTCTTCCAATAGCTTGTCTTTTTAGAATTTTGAAATTGAATATTTTTTTTCTATCACCTTCAAATTGGATGCTGTTTTTACCTTTGCTGGCCAGTTCTATTTTCTGATCTTTTTAAAACCCTCCACAACTAGCACTGTCCTTATTATAAGCTGATCCCAATTGCTAATTTAGTTCAATAGTCATTCCTGAGTAATAATAAATCTCCCTCACATGCCCTATGCATTGTAGCCTTCCTTTGTAATTTGTTTTGTTTGCATGGAGATGGCTGACAACTATTTATGCTGCTCATTTCAGTATCTTGACAATGTCTACATTGCATTAAGTTTTTCATAACTCTCATCTTGTTACTTTATCTCCCAATCTAGGGTAAGGATAGAGGGCAAGTGACCAGAGGTGACTGCAGAGTTTGACTTGCTAATGTGAAGTATTAGGTTCAGCAGTATAAGAACAATAAACAACCTGTTTTATCCAGGGTCTAACTAAAAACCCCCCACTAGAAAAACAGCCTTACAAAACTTACCATTTTTGAAAAAATTTATTCTCTATCCTTTAGTTTATGATTTTTGTCAAAAGCAGAACCACAGATCACTGTGTTATTAACAAATATGAACTATAATTTACCATCTTTATCTTTATTGCCTTTTGTTAATCTTTTGATAGCTTACTTTTTTCAGGAAGATTCTTTGACACATCAGGTGTCCCCCCTCTTTCGTAAGATCCAAAGTCCAAAGCATATTTTTTAAAGAATTAAACTGAAGGCAGTATTTTTCCACTAATAAAATACTGCTCTAAAAAAAAAAAAGTGCCTATTTCTATTCTAAATACAAAGACAGTATGCCAGAACAATACACAGTGTTGTCATACAACTGCCAATATACAGTTGCTGTATTTATTTTGTGCAATAAGAACTGACAAACCCCACACTTCCTGTATACACTCAGAAACTTCTCTTTTATAATCTGCTGTACATCCCTAAGCCAAACTCCTCCTATTGTAAACATTTAAACTATGTGTCCTTTGAAAATCAAACAGAGTTGGCAAAACAAAAACTGCACGACATTTAAAAGACCTATTTCAAATTTTTTCTTTCACACTGTACTTTAGTTGGGACCGAGTTATTTTCTTCCTAGTAGCTAGCAGGGTGTTCTATTTTGTGACCAAAGCAGGTGCTTCAAGCACAGTGATGCTTAGCTATCACTGAACAGTACTTACGCAGAGTCATGGCCATCTCTGTTTCTCCTGTGGCTCCTGTCCCAGGAGCTGGGTGGCACAAGAAGTTTGCATGGAACACAGCTGGGACTTCTGAACCAAACCAACCAAAGGCCTATTCCACACCACATGATGCCATGCTCAACCATCTAAGCTGAGGGAAGAAGGAGAAAGGAGGAAACACGCGACATGACAGCATATGGCTTCCCAAGTCGCTGCTAAACCTGATGAAGTGCTGCATTTCCGAAGGCCTGCATTTCCTGGAAATGGCTAGAAACATGCCTGCTAAGGGGACATAATGGATAGATTACACATTCTGTTTTGCATGCTGCTCTGCTTTACCTTTTCAACTGTCTTTATCTCAGGGAAAGCCCATAGGATTTCCCACGTTTGCCTTTCTGATTCTATCCCCGCCCCACTGCAAGAGGAAGGGTGAGGACTGAGCTGCCTGCGGAAGGGTGAGGACTGAGTTGCCTGCCCGGATTAACCCACAACTTTGGAGGAGCTTCAAATCTAAAGTTAACCTCCACCCTTAGTAAGAATTCAGACAGAGACTCAGAAAACCCGATTTGGACAATTAATGGGTACCTTTAACTTACCGTTAAGCGGTTAACCCCACTACTGAAAAACAATGCTACAGGCGATCACCATCCTCCTATTTCTTGAATGAAAATAAAATCCCGAATCTGTCGCGCCCCTCCTGCGAGCGCTGCCAGTCACAGGACCCCGAGCAGGTGCCGCTGCCCGACCTCCAGCCCGCTCCGGGCGGGTTTACCCAGCTCGCACACAGCCGGCAGCGCGCCCGGCTTCCTGTCCCGCGGGAACGCCCTCTCCGCGCCGCGGTGGGCAGAGCCGCTGCCGGCAGGGTCCCGAGCGAAAGCCGGGTCGGCGCTCCTGGAGCCCTCGCGTCTCGTACCTGGCTCCCTCTGCGGTACCGACAGCAGCAACCGCAACACGCCTCCACGGCCCGGGGCTGGCGGGGCCGCTCCGTCCCCTCACCTCCCGCCTGGGAGGGCGGCGGCGGCCGTGGCTGCGGAGACTCCGCGGCCCCCGCCCCGCCCGTAGCGCAGGTAGAGCCCCCGCCCGGCGTGGTCCGCCTGGGGCCGCTCCCGCTGGAGGCGGCTGCTCGTCGCTTCACGGTCCCTCCGCGCGGCTTGCTGCGCACGGCATCGGCACCGACGGTCGGGAGCGGCCCCGCCGGAGCGCGGCTCCAGGGTCTCGATAGGCGGGCGAAGGGGAGGCGGCGGAGGGACCCCCGGACGGAGGGACCCCCGGACGGAGGA